GAAGATTACCTATATATCTAGACATCTAAAAAGACTACATAAGGAGACTACTAAAAAGGACCATTAAAAAAGCATGTTAAAAGACTATCTAAGAAGACCACTAGACTATGGCCGTATAAGCGGCCGACTATCTTGTCATAATATCTCAATTTCCGCCGTATCCCCAATCTCTACAATATCTCTGAAGGATTATCAATCCATGTCCAAGTTCTGAGCGTAGAAGTTACATAGCGCAAAGTTCTACAATATGCTCCGCTGTCAGTATGGAATACCACGATCATACTACCGAGAAGAGCGTAAGAACTACATAAGAACTACATAGAGAGGACTTATGAGGCTTGATTGATATAAACATTACACAAGAAAAACTGCACAAGCCTGAGATGAGAGGACATGAGGATAGTAGCGTGAGACAAGAATTGGGAATTTAACACAGTGTCCAAGCTTGACATGAGAAAAAAAAAAAACATTGAAGGCAAACAAAAGTTCAGAATAGAACAGGACTTAAGCGAGCTTAACATGAAAGTGAAAGAACATATTGGAATGAAACAGGATGTCGGTGGAATGAAAGCAAGAACAGACTAGAACAAGACAAGATATAGGAATAGAACAAGATGTGAACAAAACCAAGAGCAAAGGGACAATGAAACAAAACAAAATCTGAACAAGACTAAGCTCAAGGCAATCATTGGCCATTGAAAATTGGCTGTGGGATAGCGAACAAGCATATGACATTGACTCAGCACTATGCAGAACTCGGCACTGTGCAAGTGGAATCGGCCCTCAGACAGAAGACAGCGAAACTTTTTTTTTTTGGTCCTTGTCTAATGAGGTCTTAACGACAACAGAACTTTCTGAATTTGGTTTTGTTTGGCTTTGTTCTATCGATGACCCTCGAGTAAGATGGATCGGTGTCTCCTGGCCCATTGGCCTGGCGAATGAGTGGAAACCCAGTCTGGCTGGCAATGGCTGTTGATGAAGGATAACAGGACCTTTTTTTTTCTTTTTGGTACTTGCGCCTGTTTTATTTTGCTTTTTGTGTTTGCCTTTTGTCTCGCTCTTCTGCTCGGTCTTGTCTCGTGCTTGGTTTTGTTTTTGTCTTGGTCTTGTTTTGTCTTGTTGTCCCAAGGTCTCCGTCTTGTGCCTTTCAGTGGTCCTTTAACACCAGAGGGCCTGGTGTGACTATGAGGATTGACGGTGGAGAGCCCAGTCTAGGCAGTGACAGTTATTGGATGGAGACAGTATAATTTTTTTGGTTCTTTTTTTCTTTTTTTCTTTTTTGGTTCTTTTTCTTTTTCTTCTCTTGCTTTTTCTTTTGCTTTTCTTTTTCAATTTGTTTCCTTTAGTTCTTATCGAGTGATGCTCGGGCCAGAGAAGGCTCAGTGTATTCAGGAAGGACCTCCTCGGAGGGACGGGAGGTGGCCATAAGGCCCTGCTTTTCGCAGGCCTCACCGTCCTCCCAGGCGGCCTTGTGTTCCGAAGAAGTGGTGCCGCGGTAGCGTTGCCAGAGGAAAACCACAGCCTGGCCGACCAGCATGCCAATGGCACTAGCGGCCAATCCGGCCAGGACACCCAAGACAGCCGGGACAATGACAAAGTGTACAATGCGAGAGAAAGTGCGGGCGAAAGCGCCGTGGTATGGGTGGCGATGGTGGGGACGACCAGAGCCGTGGGCGTGGGCATGGTGGCCACCGGGGCCAAACTTATCATGTCCAGAGCCGTCTTCCGGAGGCGGGGGAGAGAAAGGCATACCGTCATGGCCTTCTTCGTGGTGGCCCATTGTCTTGCCCTTGTGTTTGCCATGGCAGCTCTTGGGGCCGGCTTTGGCCATGCCCATAACACGAGCCTTGGCGCCAGCCAACAGGCCCCGAATGCGAGAGACCAGATGTTCCTGCAGGCATTTAGCCTTGCCGTGGCACTCCTTCCAAGACAAGCGGTCGGAGGTAGGAGTGGTGTTTTCGATTTCAGTACGAGCGATGAACAGCTCGCCGTTGGGATCCTGTAGAACGGTGATCGCAACGGTATCGACAGGGACTGGGTGGGTCTCCAGGTCGAGAACAGTGAATCTTATGTCTAGGAGTTCATAGCCCGGCTCGTCAGATGGTGCAGCCATCGGCATGATTTCAAGCGCGTAACCAACAGGCATTGGGGTGGAGTCCTCTCCCTCTTCGTTTTGTTGTACAGCAAGAATTGGGATGGGAGGGGCCGGTGGGAATATTTGGCGGCCGTTGGCCAGCAGGCGGTTGTCTTCGATGGAGAAATCCAGACTCTATGGGGGTTTGTTAGCTAGTTCGAATGAATAAACGGATTCCGTGATGCTTACCAGAGATGATGGCTTGCCCTCCATCCAACTAACAACACCTTCGTCGTTGGTTTCACGGAGAGGACATTCAGAGCAGGGCAGGTCAACAATCGCGTGATGAACGTCCTCCAAAAGCATAGGGTGGACATTCACGAACCCATCTTCAATCATATCGACTTTAGGTTCCATCTCGGGGATGACTAGCATGGCACTGGCGCTAAGGGCAGCAGCGCCACCCAGCAAAACGGAGCGCACAAGCATGGTGGTTAGAGGAAAGTAAGGTTGGCGCAAAATGTAAGTCAGAAGCAAGGCGATGCTTCTCTCCTTAAGTCGATGAGAGGAGTAGACTCCACAACGATGTGGTGAACAATATCTCGAGGGGGCATGGAGATAAGTGATCTTCTTTCAGCGGGAAGTGGAGTGGGTGACGCCAGCTCCTGCGTGGCTCGTGCCGTCATTGGCGGATGGGGGACAGTCAGCCTGCTGACTGTGCAGGCGGCACCTCTCGGAATGTGTAGGCTCCACGAAAGACCCTCTCAAACCGAGTCGCATACTGTGGTGTATTGTTCCCATGGTCTTTCGAAATAATGCTGACGGCCGTACTCCGTATACCGCAGCATAATCCAGTTTGTCACATCGCTTTCAGCTGTCAGGACCATGATGTCTCCTAGGAGCCGCGGACAATACAAGGTACTGCGGTATACATTTCGAGGTGGCGAACCACAATTTTGATTGGCGTGGGGTTTCGCTGAGGGCGAAATGTGCATAGTCAGCCTCCTGAATGTGGAGGCACCAATTTTTGACCGTACGTATACTGCAGTATCATGTTTTCCAGCCTGTGGGAGACCATATAATGCTCCCAGTCCTCAGGAGCTGGCGATTGTTGCGAATTGACATGGCCAGCCTGCTGAACGCGCAGGTGGCATCTTTCTTATTTTTGTGCCATCATGCCAGCTCCTGGGAAATCAACTGATGTTCCTGTTCCCAGGAGCTGGCACTGGTTGCGAATTGGCACGGTCAGCCTGCTGAGCACATGTAGACGGCATTGGGTTGTGTTCATGCCATATTGCCAGCCCCCGGGAGATCATATAATGTTCCCCACTCCCAAGAGCTGGCCTGTTGCTCTTTCCATGGCGTCAACCCCTAGTGTATTGTTTGATTTTCCCAGACCCTAGGGGCTGGCTTGTCGTTGGCGAACTGACGTGTTCAGCAGGCTGACTATGCAGGTGGCGTCGGAGTGTGTTTGTGCCATGTTGCCAGCCCTCGGGATATCATATGATGTCCCTCGTTCCCAGGAGCATATGATATCCCGAGGGCTGGCGTGCTATTGTAAAGTGGCATAGTCAGCCTGCTGAACACGCAAGTGGCAGTGTTTGTGCCTTGTTGCCAGCCCCCGATAAAGGATAATGTTCCCATATCTCATTGGCGGGCGACGTGTTCAGCAGGCTGACGATACAGGTGGCAGCAGAATGTGTTTGTGCCATGCTGCCAGCCCCTGGGAGATCTTATAATGTTCCCCGCTCCCAGGAGCTGGCCTAGTGTCATGCCATGGTGTCGGCCCCTAGGAGATCATTTGATTTTCCCATCTCCTAGGGGCTGGCGTTTTGTCGGTGCGACTAGCTCCTAGGAGCTGGCGCGTTGTTGCAAAGTGGTGTGGTCAGCCTGCTGAACACGCAGGTGGCAGCTTTTGTGCCATGGTGCCAGCCCTGGGAGATCTCCCGGGGGCAGGCAAATGTTCCTGCGTGTTCAACAGACTGACTGTGCAGCCAGCTCCTGGGAGATGATGTAATGCTCTCCGCTCCCAGGAGCTGGCTTTTGCTGAAGGTCGTATGGTCAGCCTGCTGAACACGCAGGTGGCAGCTTTTGTGCCATGTTTCCAGCCCGTGGGAGATCATATAATGTCCCCATCTCCCAGGGGCTGGCGTGTTTTTGGTGCTGCGTGTCCAGCAGGCTGACCATGTAGATGGTATTTGTACCATCGTGCCAGCTCCTGGGAGATGATGTAATGCTCTGCGGTCCCAGGAGCTGGCTGTTGTTGAAGGTGGCATGGCCAGCCTGCTGAACACGCGGGCGGTATCGTATATCATGATCGTGGTATAATCCGAGGCATTATATATCGTCTTTATATATAGGTCAGACGACGCCACTCGCACATCTTCTACCCAGTTTCGTGGGTCGGCAATGCAAATTATACCTGAATATAATATACTCCAGGGCCCAGACATTGAATCGACACGGACTCGGACATGGTGTCTTTCGGCGGCCGACAGAAAAAAGTCGTACATCACCCCGAAGGGTGGACAACAAACAAATCGAAGAGAACTCGGAACAGGTACCCTGACAACTTGCCATGGGTGTCGACAATGATAATCATCCATCACCCTCCCAGGTGGAGGAAACAAGGGTACTCAGACAATGGGTTCTTGTTTCTGTGTCTTTGGTAACGGACACATGTCGCTGTAGCTGTGCAGGTGAAGCGGCAATCATCGGACTCGCTAGCTTGCTGCTTATCGTTGTTGCGATCCCAAGAGGTGGCTCATTCGTCTGTCCCCTTGGCCGCTGTTCGTTGCACTTCTGCAGGTGAAGCGCCGATCATCGGACTCGCCAGCTTCCTGCCTTGCTGTAATATCGTATTATCCATCGAGAGGTGGCTCAGTCGTCCCTCCCCTCGGTGGGGTGCGCACCGTATCACTTGCCGTTAACCGAACAATGTCCGATCTCCGACAAAACAACGGAGGAAGACATAGATAATCCGCTCCAAGAATGGAACATCATACCCGTGCTCCCAGCGCAGTTCCTCCAGGAACTGTTCGGGACCCTCCAAGGCGTAAACCAGGGGTCCAAGGTGACCTATCCACAGGGGGAACGACAGCAGAATCACCATCACCGTAGCGAATACACCAAAGGAGAGCCAACGAGTTCCTGTCCATAACCCCCGCTGCAAAGCCGATCCCTCATGCATGTCTAACTCGCCAGACGCAGTGACGGCGGGTGGGTCGGAAGGCCAAGCTCCTGGCATTTGAAGACCAGAAGCCGCTGCCTCTTCTCCGCCCATTTCCTCCCGCAGGTCTCCTGCGGTCTGTTGAGCGCTGCCAGTCGGGTTTTCGGCGTCCTCAACCCTCTTAGTGCCTTTCGAAACCCCCGCACGGGAATCTGTCCCTGTTGCAACGGCATTCTTTGCCGAAGCGTCTTCGGGACTGGCGACCCGGGAAGAGGTGGATCTGATCCGAGAGGTTGCTGTGACCTGCAACCCCTTAGGTGTAGACATGATGTTACCAGGAGCTTGAGCCCTTGCCGCGCGCATCGCATACAACCGCGAGCGAGCATTCCGCAGGCACGGAACAACACGGCCTGATTCATTCAGAGTCGGCTTAGTGACAGCAGGCACACTCTGAATTTCCTCAGTTGACGACGGCTCAGTCTGGGCTGACTTAGTTGGGGCTGGCTCACTAGGAGCAGGCGCACCCGCAACTTCATCAGACGCAATGGACACGGTCGACGCGAGCGTAGTGTACTGAAGCACACTGGACTCGGGCAGAGTGGACTCCAACGCAGCTTGAGTCGGCTCTGAAACAGCTGACTCACTCATAACTGCCTCGGTGGACACCTGCACGGTCTCGAGGGTCTCATTTCCCCCCGAAACAGCTTGAGTCGGCTGGGGAACAGCCGGCGCACTCATAGCTGCCTCCGGGCGCACCTGCTCGGTTGAGACAGTCTCGGTGTACTCCAGAACACTCTGAGTTGGCTGAGAAACAGCTGGCTCGCCCATGACCGCCTGCGTAGACACCTGCTCGGTTTTAACAGACTCAGTGGACTCCAAAGCAGTCTGAGTTGGCTGCGAAACAGCTGGCACACTCACATCTGACACTTTCGGAACTGTGTTCATCACGTAAATCGCGGAAAGGGGAAGGAAAAGCGACCCATTGCCTTCCACCAGCTCTTTCGTGATCCGCTTCTTGCGGTCTGGTTCGTCCTCGCTCATGCCAGCTTTCCGCTTTCGTGAAGGGAGGTTGACCCTCCGGTGCATATACTGAACACGACTCCCTTTCGGACGGTCATGTCGTTTGAACACGCGAGCGCGGCCTCGGACTCTCGGCAGCTTGGCCTCCATAACGGTGCGACTCACTCGCTGCCAGGGTTCAAGAGCGGCATCGTCGTGGACAGAATCGGACGGGGGGATCACGGAGCTAGGTACCTGGCCTGCAACCATCAAGACATCGTAGTTGGCATCGCCGGGGAACACAGGAATGGGCCGGGTGTGACCACTGGATGACTGGCTCCGAGCCGCCGGTTCATCTTCATCGTAGAGTGTGATCATCAGTGTTGGCTCCCATTCCATGAAACCGTCAAAGCGCTCGTCGTTCAACTTTGCAGGTTCGGAGTAAAAGAGCTGGTTTTCGGTTTCCATCATGTCGTTAATCTCCACTTGCTGGGGAGTTATGGTAAGGGTCGTACATGGTGCTCCTTGCACCACTGCATTTCGGTCGCTCGCCTGCGACTCATCTGCCTGCAACATGCGGGCGGTAAGGTCTTGTTCGGTGGCCTCAGTGCTGACATCCATGGGTGACTCGGCCAGTGATGATCTGCGACTATTCAATGACATAACGTTGGAAAGCACGCTGGGACTCTCCGATCGAGCTCTCATGGGGCAGTCACCATCATCAAGGTCGGAGACGGAGCCAATGTCACCGTCGAAGTTAAGATCCCCAGGGAGGAGCGGTCCCGGGTCATGTTCCTTTCCCGTGCCGAGTTGCCGGGGTTGATGGTCAAATACATGCCCGTGAGAGCCTGGTTCCTGGCTTCCCACGACGTGGCGGCGAGCAATGCCCACAGGGTGGGTGGAGGACTCAGCAATCGGAGCATCGCGAGTCCGCACCTGGCTGTCCCTCGTGGCTTGCATTGCCGCGGCAAGCATCATGTCCATACTCTTGATGAGGCCTTTCATTCGGTCCTCCGCACCCGCAAGGCGTTTTTGGCGTTGCAGGTTGTACTCGCTGGCTGCGACTATCTGTCGCAGATCCTGGACGTCGCGACGGTCCTTTTGAATGGTGTACTGAAGTCCTTGAAGCGCGGCTTCGTTTCCTTCAGCGCGCTCAAGCTCTTCAGCAACCTGGTCCAATCGGTTATCCACGATCTGGAATTGGCGGTCGATGTCGCGAGCCCGGTCGTTGCAAGACCGGTTGATCAAGGCATCCATATGCGCTTGATCGACGAAACGAGTAGCTCGATGTGTCGCCATTTCGGATCGCAGAGCCGACGCCTGGGACCTGGCGTTGTTCAGCTGGCTCTCCTGGCGAGAAATGATATCCTCGGCATCCGCAAGTCTTGCATTCAGGGCGTTGACTTCGCGCTGTGTCGGACTAGAACGGACACCAAAGGGGGAAGAATGGGCTGTGTCGGGGCCCACCAGGGGGGCGATCCCGTGCGGGGGACCCTGGTCTTTGAGGGAACTGGAAGAGGGCCCGGGCATCATCCGGAACCCAATCGGTCCCTTATATGGCGGCGAGATTAGGGGGATGGCGGGAGTGGGGGCACCCGTCATCTTGACCCCAATCGGTCCCTTGTATGGTGGTGAGATCAAGGGGATGGCGGGGGTGGGGACACCCGTCATTTCGAACCCAATCACGCCGTTACGGCGCGACAGTCCCTGCTGGGTTGCCATTGGGGACTGTGAGACAGGTTAGATATGATGCTCGAAAAGTTGATTGCAAAGGTAAGTGAACTCACAGAAGAGGGGGAAAAACAAGCGGGATGGGCCTTCTCTTGCCACACGTGCCCAGAGACTAAACAGGAAGCTATGCGACAAGGTGTCAGAAAATGTTAGATAGGTTACTTGGAAGGGTAGTTGGGACTAACCAGAAACAAGATGTTTCTTTCGCAGATGCCTCGCAGATTGCCTACGAAGCAGAGAGATAAACTGTAACGACAATGGAGAAGAAGGAGAAGGGAGGAGAAGAAGAAGAAGAGGAAGGAAAGAGAAGTTGAGAGCAAAGGGCAGAAGATATAGGTAGGCCTCGACACACGACGTGTGGTGAGGCTCTGGCGCCCTCTGGGTCAATGAGCTTGCTCAATGACTTGGTCTCACCCGCCTGGACCAATCAATGAGCTCCCCCATTGTTTATCGATGACAGGTCTTTCTTCAACAATGGCTCTTATGAAATCTCCAATAAAGAGAACAATGGGGTGTCTCCTTGGTCCCTTGAATGCTCTTTCTCTTGGAATAGGATGTCTCGTTCAGCAGTACAATCTACATTAAGCGCCTAAATCTATATCTATTCAATCGTACCTCTCCTAGATTTAGCTCTGCGTAGACATTCCTGACAGCTGCTCGGTGATATGCATATACCTAGGTAGATTTGAGCTCTGCGCCATGTGGCTGCGGCTGAATGTCGTCGGCTTGCGGAAGGCTAGTGCACTCGGCTTACCGAATGGACTGTTCTTCCATGGCTTAATTAAAGTCTTGTCTATCTATTTCGTACCACCAGGTCTACTGTGGTCTATGATACAGTCATGGTGGGGGCTACTGTCACCATGGCTCTTGATCAAAAAAGCAGCCATGTCCCGACTAATTGTCAAGCGACGATTTGCACGTTTTGGTGGTTTCTACTGCTCTCGGATATGAATATGCTGAGTTTAAAACCCCCCTATACTGGAAATCATTGCTAACAGGAAAATATATCCCCAGAGACACCTATGGGGGTAGTCCCTCGGTCTCACAAAGACCAACACGGTACGGGCTAGGACCGTGACAAGCAGGCCAAGCACATCCAGCGACCAACCAGCAAGCTGTCCGTGGCGATCTGCGTTGAGTCTAACCAGACGCAGCCACCTGACCCAGCCTACATTGCGAGCAATCACACAACGGCCTTGACGTTTTGGGAAAACTTCATGAAGAAAAGCGACACAAGATCAAGATCGATTAGACCAAAGCATTGGCACTTCCCAGCTATTCCCTAAGGTTTCCTGAACCAGTTGACACGATTGATAATCTAAGATCCAAGCAGCTTCCCAGTCGTGAGGCTGCACTTTCGCAATCATACACATTGACATCGCCAAGACAGCCAAACATGACACTTGGTTCTTTCATCAACGCTGTGTTGGGTTATGGGTTCAAGGTACGTGTTCTCCTTTGCCACTGACAGTATGTTTGCTCTAGATTCCCTGCCAAAACGTCCAGGAAGCCTCAAGCCACCATCAGCTCTCACAGCGAGTATCCGCCAAGTTGTCCCGTCCGCCAGCCAACGACATCGACGCGTCAATTCAGCCCTAATCGCTTGACAAGTTCGAAAGACGATCCTCTTCGGCAGCCAATGATACGGAAAAGGGCCATCTGTGAAGATGATGTTTTCACGACAGGACCAGAAGAAAGAAATTTTATTCAAATGGGCAAGTCTCGTTCCCAAGCCTAAAGAACAGAGCGTACCCATGTCTTTTCCCACTTCTCAGCTGACAGTGGTGCAGAATTTCATTGCGCCATTTTGGGGGTATGGAGCATGGTTTGTTTTGAATTTGCTACAGACTCTGTCACTGATGCAAGAGTCGGGAGGAGCGCCTGAGACAGGACACAACACTTTGGGCATGCGATAACAACAGCTTAGGTTTTGATTTAGTCTATCTGCCAGATCCAGCTAGTGATACGTCGTGGAATCTATTCGAAATGCAAATGCCGAAAGGCTCCTGTACATTATCAACGTCTCTCAAAATTTGTCCAGTCGCTCAAAGCTTAGACTTCTTCCCGGTCACGTTGGGTACATCATCCCCCGAAAGCAAGAAGTCTGGGTAAGACAGGCTCCCACCGGAAGCGCCGCCTGCCGACATGCGCCAGTTCGCACCGTCGACTGCTTACGCGTCAACATGGAACGTTCATAATCTTCTTCTGTGTTATCTGATAACTCACCGACAAGCGTTTGACCACTGACATAGCTACCAGTGTCTGAGAAGAGATACACCGTGGCGTCGGCGATATCGCGGACATGGCCAAAACGGCCAAGCGGCTGGGCCTTGGTGTAGGCTTCCAGGGCATCTGATGGCAGCAGGCGTTCCAAACCCTACAAAATGGTAAGTCGATCGAATTTTTGACATAGGCATAGCACTGTGGAGATCTATACTAACCTCAGTCTGCGCAATAGGACCGGGTGCAATGATATTGGAAGTCAAACCGCGAGGACCATACTCGATTGCGACACTGTGTGACAAGGCGTCGATACCGGCTTTGGCAACGGATACATGGCTCTGGAAGGGCATACCCCGGTAATGAATGGTGGCACTCACGAAGATAATTCTTCCGCCAGTTCCAATTGGTACTGGTTGAACTAAACGGTGGTCAGTTGCAATGATAGCCAGATATTGGGGATTTGCCCAATAGTGCACTCACGAGTTTTTGAGTCCATTCTGTGCTTGCTTGCTGACTCTCTTAGGTACGGTAGAGTTGCCTTGAGGGTATTGTAAGAACCCAAGACGTCAATATCCATGACTGATTTGAAAGCATTGACCGAGAGTTGCTCGATAGAGGCGAGGAAGTTACCCGCCGCTCCGGCACTGTCGGATACTATCAGTATGAGAATCGAAGACCGCGGTGTTACTGTATCGACGTACATGACGAAATCAATGCCTCCAAGCTCCTTGACACAGCGCTCAACTGCTTGCTGTAAATTCTCGAGCTTGCGCACGTCCACGGAACCAAATCCAATCACCTTGGCACCGGGTCGGGCTGTCGCGATGTCCTGGGCGACGCGCTCGGTTTTCTCTACATTGCGGCCAATTATGCAGGCGTTGGCGCCCAGGTGTACTAAGGCCCGGACCTGGGCACTGCAGATAGTGCCAGCACCACCTGTGCAGAAGACGACTTTGTTTGCTGGATCAAGGAGTTAGTGTGGGTTGTGGTGGCAATGGATTCGAAGGGAGCTTACCGAAGATCCCATCCTTCCAGGAGTCGCTCAAATATTCTGTCTTGGGCAGCGGCATTCTGGTTACTACGTACTCCGTACTCCGCTGGATAACTTATTTTGAAGATTGTGGGGGATTTGGTTGATGTTCAGGAGGTCGTTCCAAGGCCTTTTCCCCACAGTTGAGCCTCGGCTTCACGGACTTATGTAATTTATGCATTCCGAACTTGGATGCATAAGATATCTATCACTGAGGCAAATATACAACCTTGGAAGAAATCGTTCCAAAACTATTACAGTCAAAATTTTGTTTGATGAGGTGTAAGTCAAAAAGCTTGCTTATGTCTAGCTCACATTATCCGTATATCAATCTCTGCAACACCCTCTAGGGATACAGGGCTTCTTTCGACAGTGTATACGCTCCGTAGCTAGGTACCCTTCACACTCGAAACCTAATACATTTCAGGGCTATCAAATCATCAAAGTAATCTACTATAATTAATAATTTATGATTCTGACATACATGGCGAGCCAACCTGGTTTATCGCCAAAGGTCTAGCATGGGCCTTCGTAGTAGTTGCGGAGTAATATTCTATCACGATCTCACCATTTGAGTGGAATCCATAAGGAATCGTTGAATCAGCCGGAGAACTCGCTCCAGTCAGGTCTGAATATCGCAGCTCTGTTCTGCAGGTTGTCCGGATGCCATTCCATGTGAAGTGAACATGAAGTTAATTTCAGATTAGACGTAAAGCGAGGGTAGAGAAAAAAAAAAGAAAACCACCCCTGGGTTTGCAGACTCCTGGGGTTACCAGGTATATGTGCATTCCTAACCACTCTCCCTTTCACGTGAGGCCAACCGGCCCAGGCTCGACCACCTAGGCTATAAGGGGGTATCTTAGAAGTGTTTGTCTTTCTCTTACATTTATAGGACCCCGTGGGCGCCAAGTAGGAAGGAACCACCCACATATATCATCTTTACCTGGAGAGACAAATTTAATCTCTGCCTACACTTGTCACCATAATGAGTCTATCGACGTTGTCGGCGAACAGCGAATGGGATAGATACACCCATACTCGACTTTAAACACATGATTATTGTATTTTGCCAATGAACACCTCTTGTAAATGTCATGGTATCCAGGTTGATGAAAACGTTTAGTGTTTTATCCAATGTCACCGGATGAAGCTCAGTTTTGAGTTACGTTGTAATATATATATTGGATGGTCCCATCTCCCATAGGTGCATGGATGCCTGGTTTTTCAGACTGAGGCTTTCTTGTTTGCTCTTTGTGGTCTCTATAAAAGGCCTTTCTTTTGATAGATTGAATGGAACAGCTTCTTCGTCTTGATTTTCCCCTAGTTGCTCAGTTTCCCGTAGCCTCGACAATATATTCACACGCTGACGATCTCCAACCTCGTTGTAAACCCGGGCTCTCGGCATCTTGATACTATCAAAGCAGCTTTGTCCGCAACCTACGAGGACACGTACTTTGTCCTAGATATATTTGCTCTCAGAAACAACGGTAAGAACATATGCTAACGAGTAAAGCGATGCAATGAGAGTACCCTTCCGATAGTCAATCTACTTAGCTCCCACCCGTCAATCGCCACCGTTCATCATCCATCCAGTAACTGAGTCAACTTCATCTCTATTCAAAGGGCTATACGATATTATAGAGGCTGCGGCGATGTGATGAGCGCGAATATTTCTACAATATCCTTGATGTTTGCAAAGGTTCCAGTTTCGGAACCAACTTCACTCGAGTGATTCCATATGTCCAGCTGACAACTACTGGAACAGAAAAAATTCCCAATGTACGGGTGCCACAACGTATACGTCGCATCAGTGCTGGGTTCGAGGATAATGGCAGATTAGTAGCAACTATCGTCAAGACACTTAAGGAAGTGGAGCTATTGCAGTCTCAAAGCATTTCCTAGCCAGTCGCCGAATATGCCTTGAGGGCGCAAAAGGAGTAAGAGAAGAATTTGTTTAAACATGACTCTTGATACGCGTTTCGCAGAATAGCAGCAAAAATAGTGCACTGCCCGTATAAAATAGTCGGATACACTCATACCTTGACAACCAGGTATGTACGTAGAGGTAGATCGATCCATATCCTATAGACGGCAGGGATAAAATCTAAGACTAAATAAATTATATTCAAGACAATGCCTATGTCTACAATATATACCTAGGTAGCCACCAATTTTATCACAGAGAGATCATATAGATTCCCCTCTCATTGCGATGAAGAACAGCCGCCCGCTGATTGGCTGGCGTGTAGGCGGACCGCGACGTCACCGAAAAAGAACCATCTCACTTCTCTACATTGTTGATGCGAATCTTCGACTTAACTCATTTCAGATTCTGTTGTCTTCGTCAAATCTTCGAGACTAGCAATTGGCTTTCAACTCTGAAACATGGCCTGCCCCATCAGTGTCAGCAAATTCGTTGGCACTATCTCCCTCGGGCTTCTCACTGTACGTCAATCGCATCTAGTTATCGCATCATAGAATACGATCAGCAAGTACTAACAACCCCTCTCAAATCTACAGGGCCTCTCCTACTCCACATCAGCCATCACAATCCCAGCTCTGCAGCTCCTTCCAACCGCGACAACCGCCGTCCGCTCCCTGAATGAGGTGAAGCGTCTGACGCGCCGATATGCCCTCCGCCTCTCCTTCCTGACCAACACATGCTTCTGTTTCGCATGGTGCCTCTCATCTCCACGCCGCCGACACCCATATATGGTCTGGCTGTGGGCATTCTCTACAATTAGTGCCCACGGTGTTGATTTCTGGTTCAACCGTCACCTCGGCTTCAAAAACTGGGCCTCGGCTGTGATCCGCGACGTTTCCCACTTTTCCCTCGTCCGGGACTCGAACACAAAGAAGGATGAAGACCTTGTCGTGGTCGAGGCCGAGGACGACCTGAACGGCGAAACCGTTCAGCGCGAGATGGACCGGGAGCGCCGGCTCCACCGAGCGCGCACTTGTTTGTCTGGTATTGCGCTTTCTATTGGCATTGTCGGTCTTTGGGGTGATAAGAGATGATCTTTTTGCTCTTTATTCTGGGCCCGACGACGGTCTTTCTTCATGGTGAAAACACTGGTGGTTGCTCCATGTCTATTTTCTGGAAAAGCCTTTTCGCTGCTGTTTCTTTGACCGCATCTAATATGCTTCGTGCTTGATACCTTTTTGTTCTATTCTCCTTCTCTTTTGCGCATTTTTTCCTGTACATTGCCATGGAACAACGTAGAATGGAACAACTTCTAAATTCGAATCCGACATATCCGAGCCATATCTACGAAATCGCTGATCCGACCAGCCGAGTTGAAGCGTACTATCTACCATAGGTACCTAGCCTTGAGTAATGTGCATGTGAAGGTGGAGGCGGCGGGGGAAACTGATATTCATGGATGGGAATTCGACATTACAATTTCTGTAGCTTATACACAAAGCACCGTAAAAAAACCACATCGGCAAACAGAACGTTAAGACAATAGCTCCATACAGACAAACAAGATATACCATCTGAAGTAGATGGCTTGGACCGACCAGACTTACCTGCAAATCATCATCATCCTTTCTTTCTTGGTACATTAGTACCCAATTCTTGAATAAACTAAACAGCTATAGCTCTAGAGACTTCGTGAGTCACAAACGAACGATAAATATCGGCAGTCTTCTAGTCTAGTTAACTCAGATAATGAGTTAAGGTAATTATGGAGACCAAAAGAACAAATAGCAGAATATATAACAAGTGAAATGAAGATAAAGTGAGAGTAGAGTGATATATAAAGACATGCCTCCTCAGATTGATGTTATACGTATGGGTATTTAATAGAAGTCCAACCTAATGAAATTAACAAAATGGGCTGATGATAAACAGATGAACAATAAGCAAAGAAGATCGTGTGGCACCAGACTACTCACGTACATAAGTCCATAGGACTTCTAAGGCTACCTACTATAAATACCATCTTCTTCCTTCTTCTCTCTCTCCTTGCAACCACCTCCACATCGAAACACCTACACCAAATAGTATTATATACATACTGATCCCGTTTGTGAGTTCATTTCATTCTTACTTACCTCTTTCTTTCTACTAACATGGTTTCTGCCGACTATAAATAGTCGGCTCTTCTTCTTCTTCCTTCGTCCTTCCTTTCCAACTGCCTAACACCGAAGGGCATAGCTTCGTGCCATCACGCTCGATTTCTCTATCCTTGTTCGAGTTCCATTGGCTTCCAGATGGTGCCTGGGCCTTTTCTGGTTAGTCCTAACTGACCTTTTTTGACATATAGCTTCGTGTTCAGTCTCTGGGCACGTGTGGCAAGAGAAGACCCCATTCCGTTTGCTTTTTTTACCTTTGCAATCAAGCTTTTCGAGCATCCTATCTAACCTGTCTCACAGTCCCCAGTGGCAACCCAGCAGGGACCGTCCCGCCGTAACGGGATCATTGGGTTCCAAATGACGGGTGCCCCCCACCCCCGCCATCCCCTTGATCTCCCCGCCATATAAGGGACCGATTGGGTTCCGGATGATGTCCGGGCGCTCTTCCAGTTCCTTCAACAAGCAGGGTCAGGGTCCCCCGGGACCACCCCCCTGGTGGGCCCCGACACAGCCCATTCGGAATTCCCCCTTCGGTGTGAATCCCCATATAGAAACCCTTCAGAGGAAAGTCTAGCCGAGATGGCCAAATCTTCGAATACCACATTGGCGTTTAACGAAATCAGACGCAGCGCCAATTCAGCGCGCTGACCGAAACACTGACCGATGCCGAGGCCGTCATTTCCCGCCAGGAGATGGAATCATAGATCACCTTACGGGACATTGGTGACTTGACTAGCTAGGAACCACATGTACGGGCGCCACCGAGGTGTAGTGGGTGCAGATCAATAGGGCATAGATTTAATAGATGCACAGCTAGATAGTTTCATTTAGTTAAATTAATTTAATGGCGTTTTGGTTGAGATAAATGCATTTGAAATTAGTAGGTTGGATGGGGTGGCCGGCTGGCTTGTGTGGCCGACTCGCTTGTGGAATACGTTATAGAAGAAGATAAGATTAAAAATATTATAGATTAGCGTGTACTAAAAAATACTGAAGAAATATAATAAATTTTTAGTCTTATAAATTACTATTAAAAGATTATTAATAGATATACTAGTATCGCTACCATCCCGGCGAATCCCAAGAGAAGCGGGACGACAATGCTCCAGGACTCCCTTAAGCTTGGCCAGTCGACTGGCGGTCATAGTTCACATGGAGAAAGAGCAGCATGAGGATCAAGGTGACGCCACACAAAGGCAAATTGATGTAGAACACCCATCTCCACCTCGTATGGTCAACGATCGCTCCTCCCACTACTGGCCCAATGAAGGTCCCGACAGCAAAGGCCGTGAAGACGATCCCCATCACCTGCTGCCGCTCCAGCAGAGGCAGCAGGTCGGCAACAATGATCTCTGTCATCACGTTTATTCCGCCACCGCCGAGACCATCGATGGCTCGGGCCGCAATGAGCATCCCCGTACTCGATGATCCACCCCAGAGACCACTTCCCAAGGCGAAGAGGGCCACGGAGAATATAATCGGCCATCAGCGGCGAAAGATGTTGGCAACTTGGCCGTATAAAGGCTGAACGGCGGTTTGGCTGACGAAGTACCCATTGATTGCCCAGACGAATAGTGACTGCGAGTCTAGGTAGGTGGGCAGGACAATGGAAAGAATGGTCGTGTCAAGAGCACTCAGCAAGCCCCCAACGCATAGACCGGGGAAGATGGCCCAGAACCGCCATCACTAGCCCTTCTCGACAGGCTTCTGCTCGTCTGGGATGGCTTGGGCAACAGTGCTGCTCGTTGTCGGCGTGGCGTTCTCGCCAGCAGCCATGATAATCAAATGGTAAATCGGTGAATCGAGTCGATTGACAGAATTATCCTTACGAAGAGCCGTAGCCAGGCTTTGATCGAAGGCGCCCGCATCGGTTTCATAGGAGTCGGCTTGAATATCTTACGGTCGGCTTCGGCGGACTCCCAATTAGGGTAAAACCCACCGAATGAAAGAAGAAAAACAACACAGAAAAGAAAACGGAACAAATGGGAGAGAATAATCACTCGCTTAGTTACATTGTCAATGCTCCTCTAGTGATTCAACCACATGCGCCTCCAGATTCTCCGGTTTCGTCGTTGGTGACCAGCGACTTCTCACCCTTCCATGGCGATCAATGACAAACTGGGCAATTTGTTACTGTTCCTGTCAGGCCATCATGTAGGGCATTCGGGTATATACCTTGGTAAAATTCCACGTTATTCTCTGACACCCCAAGGATCCTCTCTTCTGCTGTTTCAGCCAGCTCAGAGGGGTGCTGCCTGACCTCCATTGAAGTTGATTTTTGCCACCACTGGAAACGTAACCCCGTAGTTGAGCTGGCAGAAGCTCTGAATATCGTTCGTTGTTGGACCCAGGTTTCTACTGCATAAACTGATTACAAGGGAATCCCAAGATGACAAAGTCCTCGTCGTACTTTTCCCAAAGCCGACGGTAGATATACTCCAAGCCTTGGTACTGGGGAGTAAAGCTGCATTTCGAGGCGGTGTTCACGACAAGGACCACTTTGCCTTTTTTAGAGGAGAGTGGGTATTCTTCTCCATTTCCTACGGGTCGCAATCGGGGAAAGGTTAGATGTGCGTATAGCAGTACATTAGGGCTTAGAGAATGCTTACGGTTCAGGACCTTGAAATTATAAAATGGGGACTCCTTGGAGGTAGCCATTGCTTTTGATCCTGACCGAATTGACTCAAAGACCTGTACAATGCGCTTCGGGGTACAATGATACCTGTTTTCTCCCTATATAGGTACATAGTTCTACAGGCTAGCATGCGCTGAGTACAACCGTACAAAGCCGAACCCGCCGATTGCTCTCTGCCGAATTTGGATGAAGATGGACATCCCGACGCCCCAAGCCACTCAGTGAAATTGATAGAGCCCTAATTTAGTTCTGAGGTAAGATTCAGGCTACCGCGCACTTTCCCATACAAGAAATCCAGCCAGAAAACAGCCCCAGGCCGGCACGTCCACCAAGGCGCTCCGAATCAGACATTCGACACCATCGACGAAGAACCTCCGTGCTTCCTGAGCTGTCTTGCTTCTTAGTTGAGTTTACGAGATTCATTGCTTGAGGTCCCCAGAGCATGTGCACAATGCTGAACAGGAGTCCGAGGAGATCCAAGACGAAGGCTGCGATACTGGTATGCCACAGAAGGGCAACCGAGAGATTAGCAATGGCCAGGCACCAGGTTAACGGGTACATGGTGGAGATGAGAACCATGCCCTAGTTGTACCACACGGTGACATAGGATGGAAGAAGGTGACCGGCAGCTCCGACGACCGAGGGCTCTATGTAGGGCTTGAAGTAGAGGTCCCCGGCGATCGTGAAAGTAAGGTAGGACGAGGTGGTGAGGAGAGGAAGAACGCGAAGGAAGACTAGTGCTACCATCTTCACTCAAAATGATGCTTTCCCAAACTATTGGGTGTTGTTGCCGCAGTATTTCCTTTTGATTTCTCTTATACCTCACGCTGATCCAGTGGTGATTGACCTGCATATGCACATTCGGCGGGTTTCGCCAAAAGCGGTTAGAAGAAGAGTCCGCTCATTCATCATGACTTCAATGAGTTCATTCGGTCTCAACTGTGCTACTCCCATTTCCCACTGATGTCTGTAAGAAACTTCGACCGAGAAGAATGGACCGCCCGTATGATCTGATTGTGTATGGCGCCACCGGCTACCTGGGGTCTCTGGTAGTGCAGTACCTGTGGACTCATGGTCCGCCAGCCCTCCGGTGGGCTGTTGCTGGCCGCAGCGAGCAGAAGCTGGTGACCCTTGTGGGCTGCTTGGACCAATTCCAATCACACCGCAAGCTGCCTCATGTCATGGTGGCCGCCCTCAGCGGCGAGGACTTGGGGCGCATGGCCTCCCAAACACGCCTTGTGCTTAACACAGTCGGAGTATGTCCCTTGCTGTTCACCGCGCTGTAACCAAAACGGCTGACAGTATAGCCTTTTTGCAAATATGGGACACCCGTTGTGGCAGCCTGTATAGAGTATTCCACCGCTTATGTGGATTCCACGGGGGAACACGTTTGGACGCAGCAGCTGGCAGCGCAGTGGCACGAAAAGGCGACGGCAAACAAGGCAATTGTATTCCTCCCCGCAGGACGATATACGAAGAGATGATTGACGGAGCAGATTATCCCACAATGCGCTGTGGAGTCAAGCCCCCCGGACCTTATGACGCTCCTTCTGGCACGCAGACTGCGCCGTCCTCTTGGGCCCATGTTCTTCACAATTCAGCATTCCTGGACCGGTTACAGCGGGGGGACCATTGCAAGCATCCTCGCTGGCCTGGAGACGTACTCGCTCCGGCAGATAATGGCTGCCAGTGCACCACGCGCGTCCTGTGTCCCAGACGCCGGACCGCATCGGCCTCATCCCGCTCCGAACCTCCCAGTCCGACGGGATCACTTTCTCGGCGACCTCACCTTCAACCCCTCCGCGACGGCGGATCAAGCGGTCGTCATGCGCACCTGGTCACTCCTACAGCGATACGGGGACCGAACCGAACGATATGGGGACCAATTCAGCTTCCAGGGCTATACCGCTGCGCAGAGCTGGCTGCAGGCGTGGTCTTCGTTTCTCACCATGTCCGTCGCGGTTTTCTGTACCCTGCTATTTCCGCCACTCCGGTGGCTGCTTCGATGGATCTCCCCGCGACCGGGGACAGGGCCGCAGTTGAAACTGGGGGAGAGACATTTCGTGGAATGGAAGGCCACAGTCGCAGCGGATGGGGCCGATGTAAGCGAACCCAGCGCCTTGGGTGTCATGCGCATGAATACGGATGTGTATAGCGTCTGTGCGACTTTAGTTAGTGAAGCCGCCTTGACCCTGCTGCAAGTTTTGGAAGGAAAGGAAGAGGGCTCGATGGCCAAGAAATTGGGAGGCGGGATCCTCACCCCGGCATCGTTGGGGATCCCGTACGTGCAGCGGCTGGAAAAGGCAGGATTGCAGTGGAAGGTGACTGAAATCAAAGGAAAAGAGGAGTAGTAGAAGCGTATTACTTAAAATTCTGATATCAAGTTCGAAGAAACAAGGCGATAATTATTCGCCAACGGCATAAACTAGCTTCTTCCCCCTCACCAGTCCACATCTCATTCTTCAATTCCCTCCAGAATGCCCTCCCATCCTCCTGGCTGAACAGATGCAGGGTCGGGTCTCAGGAGGCACTCCTCGACTAGCTTCTCTGCCAGCGCGTACCACTGAGCCGCCCACTTGTAGTCACTGGGCACAGCGCCTCGTCCAAATCGTCCTTTCAGATCCATCGGTCTCCCAAAAGTGGTCAGCGCCATGACCCAGTCCGTCTGCACGTCCTTGCGCGCGATCTGAATAAAGTTTCCGGTGGTTCCAGGGCAATATACAGCCCCCTACGAGCGCCCATGGCAGCATAGCAGATCTTCATGCTATCCGTGGAGGCGATGTAGTCGAAAATAAGAGATAATTTACCCTTGGTAAAAGCGCGGATAGCCACCCCACAAGATGCGGAGCGATAGTCGAAAGCTTTGGCGGCCCCATAGGACTGAACAAGGGCGTTGTGGCCAGGCGAACAGGTCGTGATTGGACTGTATCGTATCCGGCTCTATTCGTTATTGTTAGCACTTCCTGGAAATATTCAGCGTCTGTCTAGGGTCATACAGTCTGGCCAGTTGAATCGCCATGGTCCCTGTCGCGGTACTGCCTCCGTACACCAGGATATACGGGCGTGTACTTGCTTTTCTGCTCCCACTACCCCCGCTAGCCTCATCACGCAGACTCAAATCTTCCAGAGCGGTCTCCGTTAACGGAATGCCCAGATCCTGCAGTGCCATGCCTGCTGTTACCACCCCGGCCCCGAGACATGCCGCTTCGGCCATGCTGACTTTGTTCTCGACGACCGGCATGACTAGGTCCTCGGGGACGCTCACGTACTCGGCAAACACCCCAGCCCATTCCCTCTCCCCCACATGCGGATCCAACCCGTAGAGGAAGCCCAGACGGAGTCTCTGATCTGCCACTTACTCACGGCAGAGCCGATGGCCACAACCCGGCCGCTGAAGTCGTTACCGCCCACCGTGCCGGTTGCCGAAGAGAAATCTATCATCTTCCAGTTACATGGGTTCCGAGCAACGAAGGATACCTGGATGAGAACATAGGATGGAGGTAGAGGGTTGTGTGACGGTAGACGGTGGGTGGTGTTGAGGACGTATTGCCCTTCCTTGACGGCAGTGAGCGCGCTCTGAAACTCTGGAAAGGCCATTGTGCTTAGGGAGAGCCCCTGGCATAAAACGGATGATCTGTGACCTGTCGGATACTGTGGAACCCTTATAATTGAGAAGACCGTCTTTCACTCCCATTTGGCTGGGTGTACTGCATGATGCTTAGGCTTACAACTGTTGTTCGGCGTCAGCCCCCCGCCCTTTCCGAGGTTCGGCATCAGTGAGTTTTACTTCATTTACTAGGTAACGCTTATAAGCTTCAATCGAACCTGACTTTCCCTTTGGACAAATATTTTCTTTTAGGTAACGCTTATGGAAGAGTAGCTCTATCATCTAAATATGCATGCTCTTCTCTAGCTCCTTCTTCAGCCGTCGGAGTTTCCTCCGCAACAGCCCAACCTTTCCCCGGCGGTTCCCTGGTCCCTCCCCTTGGACCACGAGCTCAATCATGGCAGGGCTGAGCAATCCCCTGCCAGCTCCGGCTCGGTCCCCTTCGCCGACCACCGAATCCCTTCGATGGGACTGCCCATGCATCTGAGCAAAAAAGTAGGATCTTCTCTCCTCAGACTGGGATCGCTCGCGAGTCACCTCGCGTTCCCACTCGTCGACGCCGAGGGCCCGTTCAATCTCGGTGAGCAGGTAGGAGATCACCTGGATGACCATTAATATCTGCAGGGCACCGTAGTTTGCGGGCTGGAACCCACCCCACTGCAACGGCGGGATAACGGGGTGCATCCTTTGGCGATAGTCCGGGCCCCCGGCCATCGATTGCACTGACAGTGCGTGGACAAAATGCGACATCTGTGTCGAGACGGTCATGTAGAGTTCGAGAAGCCGCGCGTAGCCAGTGGTAAAGAGAAGGGCGGTAGGTAAATCGCGGCTCGCTGTGCGGCTCGGTCGGTCTCCTCGCGTCGTGCCGGAAGAAGACGCAGAGTGCGGCGGAGGCATGTCGGGCGGAATATACACGTTTACCGGTGGGGAGAAAGGAGACGACCCCTGGCTGGAGGTGTCGCTGTCTGGGTGCAAGGCATGCGACGGGTGCCATGATGGTGCTTTGTCTATGGAAGAGGGACGACCGGTGGAGGACGAGGTCGATGTTGATGTAGCTGGGGTGGGCAGTGAGGCGAAATAAACGCTCGTTTGCTTTGCAATGTCGTTAAAGCGCTGTGTTTTCTTAAATATGTCGATCAATGGATACCCGTGGGCGAGCGTGTCGTCCAGCTGATCACCGCCACAGGTGCTTAGTTTGGTGATCACAGCGGCTGGTGACGCAAACATCGGACCCCACGGCTCGGCATGAAGAGATCGCTCGAGGTCGAATAGCGACAGGTTGACGTTGGAGAGCTCTCGGGTGATGTCCTGCAGAGGGTCCAGTCCTGAGGGTGCGCTTCTATCGTCAGGGATTCTGCTTTGAGTCCCCAGGCATCCTAATCCATTGACGGGAATTTGAAAATACTCGGCCAAATTGGGCATCGGAGGTACGCTATCTGGAGTCCATAAAGAGGGGAATAGATTCTCCTGCGAGCTATCACGCGGGCTTGAAAAGCTGAAAATATCGGACATGTTCCAATCTGCAATGGATGGATCCCCTGATGGCGGTACTTCCGATATCCCGACTGCCGAAGGGGTGGGCTGAGTACGGATGTGGTCGGTATGAGCGAGAGTACTGACAGGGCTGGAACGAACATGCTCTGGCGCACTGTCCGGGCGACCGTCCTCTTCTGGTGTCATTTCTAGAAGACTTAACGATCGTTTGCGACGCTTCTCCCGCGCATTATTATCCGGGCGGCTGGCACGCCTGACCAGCGTTTCCTCAGCAGCAGTCCTTGCTGGGCGGCCACTCCGCGATGGAGGGCTCCAGATACACTGACGGTTCAGACGCTGACATCGAACACACACAGTGCAGTTTTCCAGTTTTGTGCAACGCAACTTTTGGGCATGACACTGGTCGCAGGCAACGCGGCGCGCAGACGGATTCACAATGACTCCCACATGAGGCGAGGGGGGTTGGGAGGGCATGGTATGTAAGGAGGCAGCCGGAAGAAAATACAGAGGAAAAGCAGCTCGATCGGAAGAAATGCCCGTGCTTTTTGAGTATTTTGACGGAATAAAATACGGCATATTTCCACTAGGCCATAACAAAATCCTCGGTTTCTGTTTAGGGCCTAGGGGGGCCATATCCCAGTCCAACATATTTTATCCCACTTGATTTTACAGCCCAGAGATGAGGCTTGTCATAATGGGGGCTAAACCTGGAAACAAAGCAAATCGGTTATTCTTATCATCATTGATGGGCCATGGCTCAGCTATTCCTTTCTAGTGGCGGTAGGTAGGCTTAGGAAGCTGAGTGTAAGAGCTAAGAAACCTAGCCGGACACTACTTACCTTTGTTTCCGACGCCCACGGCTAAAGACCAACATGAGAGTCCCATGAATCTGGATGAATAAGTAGATCAAAAAGCAAAGTGCTCAAAGACAAAGATTCTCCACAGAGTACCTTTATGAGTGATTATTCCCTTACCCTTATGCTAATTGCCTCTATGCCAGTATTTCACCTTTTCGTAATGATCTTCTGACCAGTAGAAGGAGGCCAAATAGATCGTGCTATATACAGTACCTAGGTACTTATTACTGTGAAGCGTAAATTAATATGTTTATTGAGCGGCGGTCCAGAAGTGTGACGGTTTGCTCAGCGGCTATAGTGGCTGCCAGGATACGGTGTCGCATCTTGAGGAGAAGGTGGAGACTGACAAATCAACTGATCTCACGTCGCGCTGGTGGTAAAATACGACCTCTTAAGTTCGAGACGAACCAAGAATCGTTCTTGGCGGGTAATGGGCCGGGTCGGGCCGGCTCGGGTCGGGTCATTCCGAGGTCTACTCCAAACAATTCATCGGATAATGTGTGCTTAGTCGAGGGCTGTGGTTAGGGGCGTAGCTTAAAAAGGTGCGTGAGCAGAGGACTTAACATCTCATACCAAAACTTCCAGTCAACTGGTCGAGTCATATATTCTTTGCATAGGTACGTGGATCAGATGGTTGGCGGGTTGCAGCGTTTTACATTTATCGGAAGTGCATCGCGGCTTGAATATCCTTCCACAATGTAAGCATACGGGTCGGAGAAACTGAGCGGGTCGCGGCTTAGTTTAGGTCGGATAACCAACCGTCACAGGGACAAGAAACGACGCCATCTGTCATAGATTCAGGGATAATAGGGTCGATATAATCGTGAGCGAAAGCCATCCGCTTCTAGATGTTCTTCCTTGATCGTGTGAAACTAGCCCAAAGCTGAGGTGCAGGAGCAAGCATTTACTATTAACTATCCGTCTATGCGTGCCTATTACTGCTTCGGTAAAAAGAGCATGGCACACTCGGTTCACAAGGTTGCGGATGAGACGGTCCATCAAGCAGCATGAATCACCAGCTGCATCAGATGCAGCGAAACTATACATTGACAGGATTCAACTGGACGGAAAGTAGCATCTTCCGGTCTCAGCCCTTGTATATCTAGTGAGCTCAGAGCAAGTCCAGTCATCAATATATTCAACCGTCACTGAGTGTTTTCCACAGCCGTTGGTATTCCTGGAAGAATACAAGACGCAGAGCCAATCGTCGTGAGAAATATCGACCTGGCCACTTTTGCCATTTCATGTGAGTACGCCTATGCAAGGAACTATTCAATCTCAGAGACGGTCCTTGTTTCGCAGAATGCTCTCGGATATTACTGCGATTGAAAGAGGCGGAACGCTTGAGTTTTTGATTGACCGTTCGCAGTAAAGTAGCCAACGGAAGTCGCATGCTCTTGCCTACGCTCTTCATCCACACTCGGATCTACATTCATGCAGCTAAATGTGAATGGGGACCCTTAAAGTTGCTTTCCTTCCAGAAGTTTCAGAACGCTCAGCAAAGGTCCCCTTTGACTGCCGCCTTTATTGATGAGCTGGCGCTGATATTTTAGTTTAGCTCCCAAGCGACATAGACCTCTAAAAAGCCAGAATAGCCCTCTAAAGCAAGATTCAGTCCACGACAGTTTCATAAGTCGATATTCATTCGATGGAGCGCTTCAGTGGAATCCTATGATTCATAATAGATATAATAGGCCAAAAGGAATACAAGCCCAATGGCACCATACGATAATTGTATCACATAGGATCATACCTGTTTTATATATTTCTGAAATTACAAGTGCTCTAAGTATTATAGCTTATCTATCTTAAAGCGGTGGCTGTGTTGGTTGGACAAAGTTATATCCGTAAATAATAGGCAAGTATATCGAATAGGAGCCTAGAGCATCCCTAACTAAGCTGATTATCGAAATGGTTGGACTACGGCCAGGCTATTATCAATCGAGTTTTAAGTCGTGATTGCACTTTCCGCGAATTTGGATTTTCTAAGGTCTAATATGTCTTCAGACATAATCTAAGTATCTAGAAGTAGGTTGTCGCTCCTTGTCCACATATCCACCGTTTTGCTGTTCTAGGAATATTCGTTATTGTAGTAATTCAAAGAAGGCCGGCTATTCATTCTAAGAGTAACAAGATGAAGTCCAGTTGGTTTCTAAGGAGCTCGTTCCTTCCTATAGATAGTGCGAATTAATTTTGATGATACGGCTTGGGTCCTAATCTGCACGAGCCTTAAATCAAAACATTTACTAAAACTATCATATGTAGTCTAACAGCATCGACCTAGCAAACGTAGACAACATAATAAGATAATTAAATCCTTCCGCTGGAACGGGACCGACTGCTATACTGTCTTCGACCTGCCGATCTTTGTCGCCAATAGTATACACGAGAATGATGACCGGATCTACTGCGATCTGCTAGAAAACGAGCGTTTTATCGCGGCGGAGATCGGCGAGAGCTCGGATTCGCTGTTTGGGCAGCCGTGAGTGGAGGGTGGAGTTAGTACGACGGTATCGAGCCCCGAGACAACTCAGACAAAGGCGGGTAGTGGGTGTCATCCGGGCTTCAGGAGAGTAGCTGCATTGCGATTGTCGCGGCGGCTATTTTGCATGTCCAGGGTTCAGACTTGTTCCTGGATA